GGAAGACTGGGGTGACACTGGCTTTCTTCCAGGCCCCAGGCCCCTCTCTGGTTCTCCAGGACCTTTCCAAGATGATGGAGAGTGGCCTAGCAAGAACATCCGCCAGCTCCCTCAGCTCTCGTGGGTGCATCCCATCGGGACCCATGGACTTGTGGATGTCAAGTTTGGACAAATGATCTCTAACTTGGTCCTCCTCCACCAAGGGAGAGTCTTCCCTTCTCCAGCCTTCCTCTCTTGTCCCCAGGGTCTGGGATTCCTGAGGGCTGGCCTTAGCAGTGAAGACTGAAGCAAAGGCAGCATTCAGCAACTCTGCCTTCTCTGTATCCTCTGTCACCAGGGCACCCGCCCCATTCAGCAGCGGGCCCACGTTTTCCCTAGTCTTCCTTTTGCTATGGATGCATTTGGAGAAGCCCCTTCTTGTTGTCCCTGACCTCCCTTGCCAGATTTAATTCCAAACGGGCCTTAGCCTTCCTAGTCTCATCCCTGCGTGCTCAGAGGACGTCCCTATATTCCTCTCAAGCGGAGGCCTATATTCCTCCTGTCCCCTTTTCCACATTCTGTATGCTTCCTTCTTCTGTGTGAGTTTCGTCAGGAGTTCCCTGCTCATCCATGCAGGTCTCCTGCCCGCTTTGCTCGACTTCTTACTCAGAGGGATGCACCGATATTGAGCCTGGAGGAAGTGCTCCTTGAATATTAACCAGTTTTCGCGGATCCCCCTTCCTTCTAGGGCCTTAACCCATGGGATTCCCCTAAAGTAGGTCCCTGAAGAGGCCAAAGTTAGCTCTCCTGAAGTCCAGGGTTGCGATCCTACTTATTGCCCTGCTCCCTCCTCGCAGGATCCTGAACTCCACCATCTCATGGTCACTGCAGTCAAGGCTGCCCCAACCTTCACATCTCCAACTAGACCTTCTTTGTTAGTGCAAGGTCTAGCAGCACACCTCTCCTCGTTGGCGTCTCTACCACCTGGGTCAAGAAATTATCATCAGTGCTTTGCAGGAACCTTTGTCTCTTTGTGCCTAGCTGTGCTGTCTTGCCAACAGGTGTCAGGGTGGTGGAAGTTCCCTATGAGAACCAGGGCCTTTGATTCTGGATGGATAAAGTTCATTGCTTTCTGCCTTTCTCATGTTTCTACGTGAAATCTCTCAGACTATTTTCTAATCTTTTTGGTTATATATTTGTCATGTGTAGTTGGCCTGCATGTTTTGTTGTCATATACCATATTAATTAGCGTCACTTGCTGATGTTTCCTCAGATTTTTAGAGGCTTAATTTCTTAGGTTGCCTCTCCATGTCACCACACTTGGAAGAGCTCCTAGATTAACTCTGCAGCTGTGGGGACTTTTCTTGGCTCTTCAGGGGACTTTACTTGGCTCTTCAGTCACTATACTCTTAAGCCTTTTGAGGATATGTTCATAACTATAAACTAACTGTCAGTCCTGCTAAAGTTGCTGCCATACTAGGACTCTGCTTTTATAATCACCCGTTTTTACATAGTGCTCTTTAAGTTTTCGTGGGCGGGGATTTTTTCATGACATCGTTGCAAGAATTGCTATGAAAGTAGACATTTGGTAGTCTTATACCGCTTGAATGCGTTTTGTGCTGAAGTTAGTATGTTTAGAGTCTTTGAATAGTTTTTGCTGTGGAATTTCAATTTTTTTAATTGCAGACAAACTTTGCAAAAATATTCAATTATACAAAAATGTTTTCCAGGAGGGAACCCCATGGCTGTGGTCAGCAAACAAGTAAACATGGAATTGGCTAAGATCAAACAAAAATGCCCGCTTTATGAAGCGAATGGACAAGCTGTAAGTCTGATACTTCAGATACTTTTTTTCATTAACCTCTTAAAAAGTAGTAGTATATTTGTTGTTAACCTATTGATCTAGTATGGGATAACTTGCATGAAAGGGGGGAGGGAGGGAAGGGAGTGTGTATCCATTTTTAGTCAGTGTAGGAACACTTCAGCAAATCTGCATTAAGTTTTCTCACACCTGATTTTTGCACGTGAATTCTTACCTTAAATTTTAACTTCGGATTTGAGAGGGTTTGTGGGTTGAAGAACAAAAAAGGCACCTGGCTTCCAAATACATTACTATTTTCATTAGGCAGTTGTCTCACTTGTTCCTCTTTGAAACAACTATCTCTGTTTAACCTCCTAGCTTTTGTTGTTGGTTTTTGCTGTGGTTTTTTTTTTTTTCTTCCCAGGAATAAGCTAGCTTAGTAGTAGCAGAGCCTTTAATATGTTTTGCAGCTGGGGAGGAGATGGTGGAAGCCCTTCATTCCTAAGATGCCATAACAAAGGTAGATCCATTAGAAATAGGGACATTCACTTCATTGTGCAGTAAGTCTCCAGTAAGACATTGCCTGCAGAACACTGTGATTCTAAGAAGGTGTTTTGCAAGGGAGTGTCTATAAGAATAATGGAAGAATCAAGAGTGTATCTTAGCATAGGCAGCTTGAAAAGTTAGCTTGTTTTACATATGAATGTATAGCCTGAGAGGAGATAGGAGTATTAATTTGGAACCTCAGTGTTTTAGTCTGGGAATGTACCAAAGAAGGAGGATTTAATGAGCTAGAAGACAACAGTTGGCACAAGAACAAATGCTTACAGAGTAGCCAGCTGTAAAGTGGAAGAGGATTCCTAATTATTAGAGCAATAAGATGTGGATGCAGCCTTCCAAATCACACAGTGTATGCTTTGAGTCCGGAATGAATAATAATTGGTAGAGAGGTGTCTGATACAGACATAGCAGTAGTGTTATCTCTGTGAACAGCACATTTCAAACTTCTTTTGCTCTTGTTCGTTGAAGGACTTTCCCAGTCTTTCTGAAGCATTGCCTCTTTTCTTTTCCTTATTCTGATCTTTTGCTCATAGGAGTCAGTCTTTATCATTAGTTACGCTTTATGCTTAGTTTAACCTAGACTGGATTTAACTCTTAGTAGTACTGTATTATGGTTGGCCTTTTCAACATATGCACACTTCACTGTGTAATAGAAATTTTCACATGGGCAATGGCATAGAGATTTAAATATCTTCAGGGCAGACAAATACAAGCATTCTGGAAGTATCCTGTAGTATTTCCTCCCTCATCCTGGAAAAGCTGAGGTGGTAAGGAAGTTCTTAGTCGTGCTGACTGCTCTGAAAGGTGAGTTACTGCCCATCTGCTTCATTGAGCTCTGTCAGACCTTCTAAGACTTTGATTGCCTAGGGCCATCCTAACATCAGAGTGCTCTTTTGGCTCCAGGCAACCTTCTGGAAACTTTGCTGAAGTCATCTTCCACTAAGGAAATCTTTATGGGCCCATAAATTGATTTGCTTTCCTTATGGAAGAGGAGTTGGCTAGCTGTGGTTGTGGTTTGCTAGCTCTTCTCTTCCTTCCAGGTCTTTGGTCAGACATCCTGGCAAAGTGCCTTTGTGTTGTACAGGCCTTAGTGTCTGGCCATTTGAGAGAGCCGAGGGTGTTAAATTTCTTTTTACAAGTGCTAGTTCTCAGCTGCTTTTGTTCACAGAAGTGCTTCTGAAGTGTCACCCTTGTTCAGGGCAAGTGATACTTGTGAGCACTACTGTAAGAATGTGTCTGCACTGTGCCTTGTTCTTTCCTCTGATTTGAGGAATAGAAGCACTTTGAGTTTTAGTTACCAGGTGTTCTTTTGCATTAAGACTTCGCTGGAGAAGGCAATCTGTGTCATTGCTCTGATTTTCTTTAAAATTTCTTCTCTAATATTCCAGTGTCCTGCCTCTGAGGTTCTGAGTTTTGGTGACCAATATTTTCTTTTTTATTTATGAATAGGTTTTTAAGAAGAAAGTTGTGGTTTTTTTTGACTCCTAGGTTCCAAAAGAAAAGGACGAAATGGTGGAGCAAGAATTTAATCGTCTGTTGGAAGCTACCTCCTACCTCAGTCATCAGCTGGATTTTAATGTTCTCAATAATAAGCCTGTCTCTCTAGGTCAGGCTCTGGAGGTTGTCATACAGTAAGTGATTTCATTCTTCATGGTAGACTTTCCTGGTTTTGTGCCTCTAGGGTAAGCGTTACCCACTTAATACAGCTATCTGACCTTTGCCAGATTCTCATTTATGTATGAATTTTCTATCTATTTTAGCAAAGTATGTCAAAGAAAGATACTGGTTAAAGTAGCAAACATTAAAGTTTCCTGAAAATGAATAATACTCATGAATAATGTTTATTGTAATGAATAATTGTGGTAGATAATTGACTTAATATGCATTCACATACATAAAGCCCACTTACAAATGCCATTAGCTTTCAAGTAGGGTAATATATCTTTTAATAATATTAGGTAACTTTAGGTTCTTGTTTTAGCTAATCAGGTATTCCTCATTTACAGAAATTTGTATTAGTTTTTCTAGTTGCTGTACTACTATTTACTAAATGTCACTTGGGTGTGCTTTATCATAATCTAACGCCCATAATGCAATAGTGAATTCTCTTAATACTGCTAGGATTTCATGGTGAAACTGACTCTTAACTTTCCAGATTGCAGGAGAAGCATGTGAAGGATGAGCAGATTGAACACTGGAAAAAAATTGTGAAAACACAGGAGGAGTTGAAAGATCTTCTTAATAAGGTCAGGTCTTGTCCAGTGATGACATTCAGAAGAGGAGGTTAGCATTGTGCACCACCAATAGTGGCAAAATGTATAGACGCTTTCACAGAAAAATACCAGAAAGTTGCCATTAATGCTGTTCTTAAATATCTTTGTTCATTTGAAGCCTGCTTGGAGGCCCTGTTGTGACTAAAGAGTCCCAAAGAACTATTGTCATTGATGCTACTTTTTTAACCTTTGAGAGCCTTTTTGTCTTCTCTGAAATAAAAAAGAAAACTGATTAGAAAGAAACTTTTTATAAAAAAAAGCATTAAGTTGTATTGCAAAAAGGTTCCTTTAAGGGAATTTATTTAAATGGAGACTTTACATATATTCATAGGATTTTCCTCCTTGCATGTAAGAGGATTTTGTCCCTGTATGTGAAGAGAAGCACAGCTGGGATTAGGCAAAAGACTGTAAAGCAGAGATCTGGGGGGAAAAAAGGGAGAGGACAGGTCAATGTGTGGTATAGTAGCTTCCTTTAGAGATGCTGATTATGAGTGAAGCTTTTGGTTGGTTTATTTTAAAATGTTTTACTTTCCTTATTGGTGTTAGTGGAAATAACTGTAAAAATACTTTGAAAGTCAGGTATTCAGAGTAAAGTATAAGTGTAGAAAGTGTTACAGGCCATCTCTGGAGTGCTACTTTAGAATGCTTAGGCTGGGATAGACAGCCATCTTTACTTCTTCACAGAGGCTTTTCAGGTGAAGAATGTCTGAGGACAGCTCTCATCCTAAATTATTTGCAAAGTATTTTGTAAGAAATCAATGTGTTGGAAGAAAGCCATGTTATTATGGGATTGGTGGTGTTTATTGCAGTTTCTTGGAGGTAGATCTGTATATAAGTAACATCTGGCAAATAGGAAGTCTCTTTGGTATTAGTGGCATGATTTGAGGTGAATCTGTTTTACGCAGTCACTTACATGAAGTCTTTCTCCTCCCTGCCTTCCTTCCTTTTGCCTTTCCCCCATTCCACCTGAAAAAGATGGTGAGTTTAAAAGAGAAGATTAAAGAACTCCATCAACAGTACAAGGAGGCGTCAGAAGTGAAACCACCTCGGGATATTACAGCTGAGTTCCTTGTGAAAAGCAAACATAGAGATCTGACTGCACTTTGCAAGGTAAATGGTGACGTATGTACAACACTTAAATCAATGGTCTCTGAAGCCTTGAGCAGCCAAATAGAAATTGCCGATATAAATGTTTCCAGGAACTCTCACTTTGAACTAACAATCTCAGAGAATATGATGGGGATAACTCTGGGTTGTAATATTGATGATAGGACAGTGTTAAGTACCTTAGATACCTGTCCTTAGCAGCTCATGTCTGCGAGCATTCACGTGATGAGGCTATGTTCACATGATGAAAGCTAAATTTTAGGTCATACTTAATTTACTCCCGAGTCCCACAGTAGTCTGGAAATAAAATCTATATTTAAAGAGGATATTGCTCCTCTAAGGTGGAAATAGTGGTTTCCAGAGTAAAGACTTCTTTTTGTCCGAAGACTATTGTTGACAGAGATCGATCTTGACAAGCAGAATTAGTTCCCTTCTAATTGCATATACATTGATGCCTTAAAAAAGAAACCTCAAAAACTATTTTTTCTGCAATCATGAAAGACATCCTGGTCAGATGGAACCAAGAATCGTTTTGCAGCTACTGGTACGTTAGAAAATACTTAGCTTTAATTGAAAGCTCAACATGTTTTGGCTACTCTGTGGATACTTACTGAGCTTTTGGAAAAGCTTCCCTTCATTCCTTTCCCTCCCTTCCCCCTGCTACCTGCTCACTTGCCAATGATATATATACTGCCAGATCTGGCATCTTACTGGACTGGAATATGTGTGTTTATTTTGTTTTCCCTCTTGGCTAGGTCCTAGTTAGGAAACTTCTTTATAAAGAAATAAACTGAAAGAAGATTTTTGTCTCTTTGCCATGTTTCCAAAGAAAAGACAGGCTTAGTGAGGAAAGAAGCATTTTGTGTTTTATAAATCTGAAAAAGAGGCTCAGTTTTTAAAAGCAGAAATGAGCCTGGCACTAGTCTGACTTCATCTGTAACCCCTGATCCGCATGTATGCGATACATATCTATTGGGTGTGACAGACCTCCAATTACCTTCTAATACAATATTCTACCTTCTTGCAGGTCTTTTGACTTTCTTAGTGTTTAGCAGTGTTAGCTATGTGAAAAGGCAAAGTAAATGGTACGTTACCCTATCTGGAGAAAGTACATGCTAATTAGTCAATATCCTTACATAGACCTTGTCCTTTAAAATAATAATTATTAATAGTACCAATTAAAAATATTAATTAGTATTAGGACCAGTTAACTATCCTTTGATCACCAGATTATCCTTCAATCCTTTGTCACCAGAAAAACTTAGCTCTGGACTCTACATCCAGAAGTCTGGATGGAGTAGTCTGTTTCTACCATGTTACAGTTTAATATATGAACAGTAGGGGACAAGAATGCATAAAGCTAAGGATGTTGTATCTTGATCTTTTCTGTCACTTGGTTAGATAGATTATACAATGCAGATATTTAAACTAGGATTCATCTAATCTATTTTAAAAATGAAAAATTCCAGGTCCCTGAGTAAAGAGACATTTGTCCTGCTGCATAGGTACTTATTTTAGGCTGAATGAGGTTTGTCCTCTCTTTTCTGCTTTGTCTCCCTTGATAACAAGGGAGGTGACCAGGTTTAGCTGAGAAATCCCATTTTTATAGTCGAATCTTGAGATCATATGGCATAGCAATAGGTGGATAAAAACCCTTTTCAAGAAACTAGAAGCAAGTTCTTAAGTTTCTTCTGTTGCGCTTCATTCACGAAAACGTTTCTTTAGTTCTACAATGCACAAAACAGCCCTAGCAAAGGGCTTTTAAAAGAACTGATGATGTCTTCAAAGTAGTAAGCATTAACCTTAATGAGAAAAATAATATTACAGTAAAATGGAGCATTTTTTCTTCCCTTTCGCTATCAAAAAAGTGAAGCCAAAACCAGCTCACAGAATTTTAATGCAAACAATGTTTGTGTCTGTAGCCTTTAGCAATAATTTTTACTGTTGCATATAGTACCAAGAAATGTTTTAATGCTGGCAAAAATCTCCTGCTCCCTGCAGTGTAGTAGCTGAAATTTATTGTATGTTTGGCTATTGAATTTTCTATAAAGGTATTCAAAGATGATAATCAGATAGTTATGACAGTATGTAAATAACTGTATTAATAATCTGATCTTGTGAACTCTCCATACATAACCTGCTTCAAAGTAGTAGCTTTTCTATTTTGTCACCAAAAAACAGCTTTATGCTTTTGTCTCCATTATGGACACTCATCAAATCAAATTATTCTGCCCTCAAAGAAAATATTTGTTGCATATATAGTATTCTTCCAATGCTAAAAAAAAACAAAACAAAACAAAACTCTGAAGGAAAGTTGAATTAGATCATATTTTTATTGTCTTTTGCATACCTGCTTCTACTTTGTAAAATCTTGTGTGTTCAGTATTAAAGAATTGTAATAACCCTTTGATAGAGAAACTAGAAATACATTTTGTGCAATGTAGAAGAGCTCTGTGTGTTATGGGAGCCCTTTAAATACCAGAATTGTAAGGGATCTTGAAGTTCTTCAGCTTTGATTGATTAGGTTCCTGAAATATTAGCGTACTCATCTTTTGGCAGAATAGCATAGGCTTCTGTATAAATGAACAGCAGAAGAACAAAAGGATCAGTGCATCCCTCTGAGGAAGAAGTTCAGCAAAGCGGGCAGGAGACCTGCATGGATGAGCAAGGAACTCCTGGCCAAACTCCAGCAGAAGAGAAACATGCTGAATTAGATACTGGAAGCTAAAGAGCATGATTTAGATTCCACTGGAACCCATGAGTCTTTCACTGATTTCGCTGGGGATTGGATCCAGTCTGAGTCTACATGATGCCACTAAGTCCTTTTGAGCGTAAACTGATTCTAATATTAGCTTTTAATCTTACCAGGAGTATGATGAATTGGCAGAAACACAAGGAAAGCTGGAAGAGAAGCTTCAAGAACTTGAAGCCAATCCACCAAGGTAAAAGTACAAACTATGAAAATGAATGCTTGGGGAAACAGATTTGTGGGTGTGTTGTTGCTGTTGTGTGTATGTGGTTTTTTTCTTAACTCAAAAATGCTATCATATGCTTTCTTCTTACTATGGTAACTCATAAGGTTAGGAAGATTCTCACACATGAAGTTTGCACTTGCTCAGTTTAAGAACTCATGTTCCTTGGTCTTAGAGATAACTCAAACACAAAAAAGTGGTTCTTTGTTAGGATGCCTTACAGCAGTAACCCTTACTGTAATTAATATCTGATCGCAGAGCACCTTTGAGATTTGAAAAGCCTGTCAAAAAGAGGCATGCTGAAAGGCAGAAATCAGGTTTATGTGCTATGGATACTTCTGCACTTTCCCTCAGGGTAGCTCTTGTTTCCTTTTCCTTTTCGTACCTCAGTTTGAGAATATACTATTCCCTTGTATACTGTTTTAGACCTAAATGATATGTTTCGTATAGGATTCCATAGCTAAGACTAAAAATATACGTTTTGTTCATTGAGAATATTTGCTAGTATTATTATTTGAAATGCTGTATCCCTGTCTCTTGCTTTTGTGACTTGTACTGGGCCTATACTGTAGTTTACACTAACATAAGCTGTTATGTCCTTGTGCAGGCCCAGTGGGTCCTAATCTACAGGATGCTCAGCCTGGTCTGCCACTAACTTCTCTGTGTCTTTGTGGTGTTACCATGCTACAGTCGAGCTGGCTGCAGAGCTGTTCTTGAGCATTTTTGTGACATAAAGGCTCTATAGGCCTTCTGAGCACTGGCTGCTTGTAAAAACAGTGTGGATATTCCTGCATATTTTGGCACACATCTGATTATAGGGATGCACAGCGCTGGTGTAACTGCTTGCTTTTTTTAGCCTGTTTCTTGATATGTGCTACTTAAGACCTTGTTTGTTACTCTTGTTTCTAATTTCACCTGGAATGTTATGTATGAACACTTCTTTGAAAATGCCCCCCTATGAGTTGTATAAGTAAAGGTTACCATATTTATTGTTGGTCTCAGCTATTAATTCAAAGTTGAAATATCCATGTTAGTTAATTTCTACAAAAAAAATATCCACTCAGTAAAGAGGAGAAGCAGTGTAAGAGATTGTGCCTGGTTTTTGGTATTCTCGTATATAGGTTTTATGGACGTATAGTATATTTCCTTTGCTCCACTTCTTTCCAGAATTACAGCTTTCATGAGGGAGGTCCGAATGTTTGAAACAGAATCCACTTGTGCTCATGTTTTCAGCATCTCTACTATGGAGGGACTGAAATAGAAGAGATTGAGAATAAATTTGCAAAAGTAATGCATTTGCAAACTAAATGTCTTTTCTATTACATTTGTTTTCTAGTGATGTTTATCTGTCATCAAGAGACAGGCAGATACTTGACTGGCATTTTGCCAACCTAGAATTTGCTAATGCTACACCCCTATCTACGCTTTCACTGAAGCACTGGGACCAGGTAGTTAATCTTCAGCAATGTATTAAAAACTTGTGCTATATTTATTTCATTCTCATGGAAGTTTGTGAATGTTACCAGGTTCTGATATCTAAATGCTATCTGCTTCTGTGGAGATATCCATCTCTTACATGATTTTTATTTGCAGATGGAATTCTAGGGATCTTTTGTTGGTGCTGAAACAATCTCTAATAATACCTTATCCTGGAAGTTTCTGTGCTGTTACTTGACTAATAACAGAAAGAGTTTAAAATATATTAGGCTCACACCTTGAAATTTTTTTGGAAAAAAAAAAAAAAAATTGCAGCTGTGCAAAGTTGCTGATAATTCGCTGTTGAATGATGTAATTCATAATAAATGTGTGCTTTTTATGCATCTGCCTTGTAGGATGATGACTTTGAATTCACAGGCAGTCACTTGACTGTGAGGAATGGATATTCATGTGTGCCTGTAGCCTTGGCAGAAGGTTTGGACATTAAATTAAATACAGCAGTTCGACAAGTTCGCTATACAGCTTCAGGTAAATGAAACCTCCAGTTGAAAACAGCTCTGAGGGGACATGATCACAGAAAGTAGATTTCAGTGCTTCTGGAACCAGATTGGAAGATTTATCCAGTAAAACTCTCCCATCATACATTCTGGTTTGAAAAGTGAAAGGGAGTGGGGGAACCAGCTACCTTCCTTATTGAGATTAACTGTGTAGGAGGCTGTTAGAGATTTATTAATCTTTCATGTTTGTTTCTTGCTTGTTTCTGTGGCTGGTTGGACTACATCCTTCTCAGCTGGGTTCACTGATTCCTGAGTTCACTTTCATTCTCCTGTTTCTTTTTTATATTGTGATTGAAATGTTTGGAGTAAAAGGTCTTGGATTGCTCAAGACTGCAGCCAGTCCTTAATTGTAGGAAGTAAGTGAGGAACTCTCTTGCTTTTCACAAATGTTCCCAAAGCAGTTGCCTTTTTTGTTGTGGGATTTGCTCTGCAGCACAAAGACAAACAGCATCTAAAGCTTATATTCAGACTTTGCAGGCAGTCTTCATAATTAAGATTTTTAATGTGGTTTCTTTGGGCACACAGAATTATGCTTGATTCTGTGGAGGTACTTTCAGTTACGTGAACTAGTAGGTTCAAAGTTAGAAATTCTTGAGATTTTTTGGAACAGATTGAAAATGAGTGGTTATATAGTTCCTTTTGACCTAGTTATCTCAGATTCCTTAGAGGCCTCTTTCTTTTTTCTTCCTGAGTAAAAGAGCACAAGTTGAACAAGTAATCTTAAAGCTCCTTTCTCCTTTTTTCAGGTTAGTCAGTTCAGTGAATGATTATATTCTATATTAGAACTTACCTGTTATGTATTTATTTTTTCAAGGTTGATGATTTATGTTCACCATTCATGCCTGTTCCACAGATACAGCCCTGCAGCTTTTGAATTCTATATTGCTCAGAGATTTTTCTCTTTAAGGACAGTTTCCAGGCTCTGACAGAACTTTTTGCATGTTTACCCATCGCTGAGGATTCTTGCACTTAAAAATAGTCTTTCACTTTTTGAGATTTCCTTGTCAATTAGTTGCTTTCCTTGACATTAACAGGTTTCTGAAGTGCCCAAGTGGACCTTATCCTACTAGTTAGAGCGTCTTTTTCTCAAGAAGACTTCAGTCTGATCCCTTTCTTTGTAAGGAGCCTTTGGCCACTTGCTTACTGCTATATTTCTCTCTTAAAACAGCCTTTCTGGTTTGAAATACCTTTGCAAAAGGGATGAGATGATCAGAATTTGTGACTGATTTTCTTTGTGTGGATTTCCCTAAAGGTAATATAACTCTTAGATAACGACTTTAGACTGATTCTATGGTGGCTTCTGTTTTTCAACCTGTCACAAGAGTTATCCAGAGCATTGTCTTTTGCTGAAGTAACTGTCCGTACTTCAGATATGTGAACATACTCTGTCTTAAACACTTCAAAAGGACCTTTGTCTCTTCATATCTACAGATGGAAGATCAAGGGACTCCTTGGGTTCCTTACAAGGAACCTAATGTTGAATGTCTAGCTGTGTACTGAATTGCTAGAAGGAAGCCTCCATCTTCTCTTGGGGCTTGATGGGAGCGTAAACATATAACAGTGTGGAAATATGTCAGTAAATTATATCGTAAAGTAGCTTTTCACACTTCACAGAAGTGCTTATGAAAATACTCAGAAGCAATCCTGCCTCTGAAAGAGCCATCCTGTGATCCTAACTTGTGCGTTAACTCTGATCCTCGTTTTAGGGTGGTGGTTAAACTTTATATTTGGCCACAGGGCATCCAGGCAGTCGGTCAAATTAGACAGTTCTGTTGTTTATCTATGGCTGTTCTTTGTTATTGTGCCTTCACAATCTATCCTCCCACCCCTCTCCATTAGAGCCAAGTCATCTTTTATGGGCTCAGCTGTGAGGGAGGTGTGCCTTTCTCCTAAATACCTTACAAAGGAAGTGAAGGACTCAGAACGTACCCCTACAGATGTTGCTAAAGTAAAAACACTTGCTATGTGCTTGGCACATAGTACCCTCACTGAGAATGTACTTATAAAACCATGCAAATAAACTGTTAAAAATAAGTGACCCATCTCTGTACAGTGAGGTGTACTGCACAAGGAGAGCTATGTTAACACAGATGTCTCTTTAGTCTGGTAGTTTACAAGATTAGAGTGCCTCTTAAGCAAAAGCAGTATAACCTCTGAGCGCCTCAAGTAAGCTCTTGCAAATTTTCTGTTCTATTCTGTAGCTTGAGGGGAGGATCTGGAGATGATGCTGCCTGCAAGGGAGTCAAAATGTTCAAGCTCTTACATGTAGAGTCAGGGTTTTCTTTCCAAACACATCACACGTCCTTTGTGTTACTGTAGAAACACATCTTGCTTTTAAGTACTCCAAGGATGTTGGTTAGAGTGATCTGCAAAAATCTTGTATTTTGTTGATTTTTTGGACCAGATTCATTTCGTATGGCTTGTGTGGGGATATGCTTGCTAGCCAAATGGGGCCATGGGAGATTTTTAAGGAGTTGTTATTATTGGAACATAAGAGTAGAGGGGACCACTTGAAACATCAAGACCAGTGATGTGAAGTCACAAGGTGTAGTATGATAAATACTTAATTCAAGGAGGTCCACAGAGTTTCTTGTTTGCATAGCTTAGTATCCTTAGCACTATCACTAAGCATCTTCTAGATGTTCTTCTTGAAGATTGACTTTCCTTGATCAGTTGTGTGTTTTTTTTTTTTTTTTCCTACTAGTAAATATTTCTGGTGAAACTCTGTAATTAGTAGACAGTCACTTAATGTAACTGTACATATCATCTTCTGCCAGAAATCCCCTTTTCCTGTTTCTTTCTACCAACTTCTTTGCCAACAGACTGTGCTGCTGATTATCTGTATTTTTACTTCAGAGGACAGGTTAAGGACGATACAATGAAGTTCTTTTGAGAAGTAATGTATTTTTGTAACTTGAGTGCAGTTTGGGATCAACATTAAAATTGATGAGTTACAATGGAAACACTATGAGGATTATGTTGCTATATAGCAGAATGTTTGGCTGTCTTCACTCTCTTTACCTGAATTATCTACGCACACATGTGTGCGTGCACTAGCTTATTTTACTTCAGATTACAGCTACTTTTTGTAATACTCTGTTTTGTGGTGTTAGGAAAATAAGACTATGAATGGGAGAAGGAATACAAAGATTATTTTGTTTGTCTAGTTCAGAGGAGTCCATAACCTAAAAATTTGTTCTTGTGGATATATTTAAAGAAAGATTAAAGAAACTACCATTAATTTTTAATCCAATGCTGTTTGACAAGGCCTCTTACCTCCTAGGCTTATTAGATGACTGTTTTTCCTCTCCTATTACCAGGCTGTGAAGTGATAGCTGTTAATACTCGATCTACTAGCCAAACTTTCATTTATAAATGTGATGCTGTGCTGTGTACTCTTCCGTTGGGAGTCCTGAAACAGCAGCCACCAGCTGTACAGTTTGTGCCACCTCTTCCTGAGTGGAAAACCTCTGCGGTGCAGCGGATGGGATTTGGCAACCTTAACAAGGTGATTTGGTCTTTGGGGAAACTACAGCAGACCAAAGGTTGCAATAAGTAGAATCTGAAATGTATATGGTGGATTAAAGGAAAGGAATGTTTCTTCCACTCCTGTTTTGCTAGATTTTGATGGTGAAAATTATCTGAAGAACTGTAAGGGACTCTCCTCTGTCCCATGTAATTTTTAAATAGTTAGATTTCAGAAGTAGGTTGACTTGTTATGTCTGCCATAGCTTAACTAGTAAATGTATAAACTGCAAGAGCATATTTATCTATGAAAGGCAGTATAGGTGTATAGCAGTATGTATGCTTCCAATTTTACTTTTTTGACCTTTTCAGTGATGAAAATTTGAGTATAATTGTCTTTGATTTTTGTTTTTCCTAACTCTTAATTCTTTTTATTTCTAGGTTGTGTTATGTTTTGATCGTGTCTTCTGGGATCCAAGTGTCAATTTGTTTGGTCATGTTGGTAGCACTACTGCGAGCAGAGGAGAACTTTTTCTGTTTTGGAACCTGTACAAAGGTAACTGTGGCGCATGTATAGTTTTGATGGTGTCCTATTTGTGTAGTTCTGGAACGAGAAAAGAGTACTTTTTAAGATGCTCGTAGTGTTGTTAACATCTGGATGTTCTAAAAAGTTGATGATGTTTAATAGGAGGACAAATGAAAGCAGAGAGCATCCGTGACTTCAGAAATGGTTGCTTAGTAAATTAGGATAGAACACGGAAGAGTACAGGTTTGCTAAAGCTGAATTCTGGGCCACATTTGTTAAATCACATTGCTTTCTAATCTACTCTTGACAATTTTAATTATTGTAGGCTACTTTATTGATTTGCATCTTGGCGAAGCTGTTCTGCAACTTACTCAATTATCTTGGTTGCTTCTATTTTCTTTCTTTTAACTGCTCTGTGTATGTGTGACCAGGAGGGCTAGGTAAGTAAACAGTTGAAAACTGAAGAATCAAATGTCATGAAATATCTGTGCTCTCATGTGCTGTATTTGAGAAGTGCAGCAAATAACGTATGTTCTGTTTGCCTGCGAGCGGAATCATTTTGGTCAGATCTCCACTTTGTCAGGAGGGTGTATTGAGTCCTCTTAGAAACGGATGATGTTTTTGCAGTATTTATGAATTAAAAACATTTTCTTAGTACATTTGTCAGTCTCTGAAATATAGTTTCTCTTTGGCTGCTTGCAGCCTTGTTTAAGCTCTTCCTTCTTTCATGCAACTTCTCATGGAATGGGACTTTGGCATCCAATTTAGTTACTTAGTTTTGAAAGCCTCAACTTTCTGGATGTTTTTCAAATTGAACTGGCAGTGAAGTCAGATCTATTTCATGGGGCTGTCTGAAATCTGGGATGAACTAATAACAGCAGATGAGCCCTTTCATTTGTGATGTCAAGTCCTTCCTGGTAAAGGTAACTTTGCTGCTGAGGATTTTTAAGTGAATTAAGCTTCATGTCTAGGGACTCACCATGATGGATTACATACTTCAGAGGTAAAGTGGAGCTGTTGACTTGTTCCGTGTTCTGTTATGCGACTGAGTTGCAGAACTCAAAGCTTGTAGGTAATCCAGCCACAATTTTTCCAAGGCTTAGTGCAGCGTGGCCTTTGTAGAGTACTGAACACTCGGAACTTTCAGACTAGAGGCTCTGTTTCTCTTGCTGAGCATTCCTACTCTAGCTTGATGAGCAGCAGCAACTACTCTTCCATGTTTATAAGATGCAATATTCCCCCTTGGTGTACACATAGGCCCTCAAGTTAGTAAGGGGAAGCAAGCTGTGGTGTCTCCAGTTTGCTGAATGAATGACTTGATTTTTTGGCTTTGTTCCTCAAAACAGAGTGGTTATAACTGTAGACCGTGGCTCTCCAAGACTGGCAGATAACGTTAGAACTTCTCTTTAGAAGATCCTTTTTAACCTAAGTAGACAGAAGCTATTGCTCTGCCCGTTTCCAAAACAGGAAACTGCTTCTGTGGCTAGTATCTGTCATGAGAGGTTGTCAAAAAATATTTTTAGTAAGTGTACTGTTTCTGTCCATTTTCATTTATCTTACTGAAAGCTAAAACAAAGATATATACAATGAGCACTACAAAATGAGTTATTTTTCTTGCAGGTGACTATTTAAAGTGCCACCTCTAGTTTTTCTTCCATTCTGTCATGTGCAGGCCAGGTTTTTCTTTTAACTGAAAAAACATTGCTGCTCCAGGCAGGTGTCTTTTTAGGATATTTATGATAATGGTTTATTTGACACATGACTGGAGCAATGTAAGTAATGAGCCTTGGGTAACCAGGCTGCTTGTGTAGCTCCCTTGTGGCTTTAAAATGCCTTTATTCACAAATATATTTAACAAGCATACTTAACAAGCATTTGCTATAAATTATAAGGACAGCTGTCTTGCATATCAGTGGCTACTAGATGCAAAACCTTCCTTCTCATGAAAACAAGCAGTGCAGATAAAAAGAAAATAGAAATACAACAAAGCCTTATGCTAAAGCACCAGTCAGGGGACTAAAATTGGAAAAATAAATTCTCTCTGTTAGCCTTTCTTGTGAATGATCACTTGGCAGTTAACATGATTGCTTTGTGAAGTATTAAAGTAGACCTGACTGAATTTTTGAAGTTGCAGGCATATTTATTTTTGTAGCCATCAGTCTGACACTAATATCCTTTGGGGCAGAAATTATTTAAACTGATAAGATTAATTTGAAAAAGGAATGCAAGAGCAGAGAAAAGTGATCACAGAAAATGCTGTATTAGTTCTACAGAAGTTCTTTAAAGGACTTGTATAGCAAGAAAGCAGTTGAGAAAGGCTGAGACATAGGTGAGCTTAAGGCAGAAAAGGAGTGAAACTCAAGTGAAAAGGTGGGATGCATTTGTGCTGCTGTTGGTGACCTGTTGTAGCTCACACAGGAGGTCCCTCAGTAATTTCAGTCTAGTTCAGGTAATGATTGTTGAGAAAATGTGTAGCATCAGGGACTGCATATATGTACTGAAGCAGTTGACTTGTGCTGCTTCATCTTATTTTGGTGTACTTTCGGACCTGCCATTGTATAGTGTAGACACACTTTAGGATAGAAGGAGCCTGATACAAACATCCACTCAGCACAGGGCAAAGGAAGTCCTGTCAGAAATGCAGTGTTTTCTGGATGTCTGACATTTGAGTCTTCAGGTTTTTCACTGTTTCCTTACCCAGCTCTCCTGCTTTTTTTTTTTTTTCCCCCTAGGAATATGTGATGAAGTTTTGCAGTTGCACGCTAATCTCTGGCCAGAGGTAGAATGACCTCATTTATTTGTTTGTACATCCTACAATCCTATTAACTCTTTTTATCCTAGCATTACATGGGCAGCTGAATTATTTGATATCTGTCCTTTGGACTTCTAAATTATTCTCACAATTTCTGCTTTGCTGGATATCGTTCTGCTGTTTATAATTTTGGCTCTGTTGAGATTTATTTAATTTGAATGAGCCCAGGTAAGCAAGAAACGTGAATATTTTGTGCGAGTGACCTGCTCATACAGGTAAATTGACTGCTGTGCTTATGTTAATCATATCTAAATTTTATCAGAGAATTTCTATTTTCTGTCAGATTGTTTGGAAGATACTGGTATTACCTTAAAGGCAGCACAGATGACTCTTCAATCCCAGTGGAATCTTCTATTTAAAACAAGTGTTATCTTCACTAAAGAAAACCTCTTCTGCCTGTTGTCCTTCCTAATGAGAGAGAGTGTGTTAATTTTTAATGCATCAGTTGTCCTGATACTTTGTAACAGTACAATAATATATAGTCATTTATCTTCATTTTGGTAATTCCAAATGATGATGAAAGATTTAGGACTACTTTTGATTGATTTATTTGTTTGTTTTTCAGATGACTTAGCTTCAGCTCCATGCTTATTAAAGTTTGATTTTAAATATTTATCTGATTAAAATGCTAGTTTTCCATGATTCATTTTTTTCCCCTCCTCCTTAGCACCGATCTTGTTGGCTTTAGTAGCTGGAGAAGCAGCAGGGATCATGGAAAATATCAGTGATGATGTCATTGTTGGGCGGTGCCTTGCCATTCTCAAAGGCATCTTTGGCAGTAGTGCTGTGCCACAGGTTAGTACAGCTAGCTCATTTGGATAACTTTCCTCAAAGCTCTCCTCCACTGGAATTTTTATATACTAAAGTAATATTAAAAGCATGTGATAACTTTAATATATTAGTTTTTTATGATCATTTGCTGAATTAAACTGTTTACTTGTTTGATACTTCATGTGAGGAATAGGTTCCCTTCATTTTCTTTATTGTAGAATAGTTATAGATCTCTTTGAATATAGCTTTAACATCCTCAGTCTATTATCAGTCTCTTTAACACCCTCAGTCTATATCAGAGTTTTTCATATGATGGGCACATCCTCCCCGCTGACAGTAAGTGTTCTTTCTTAATGAGTGGATCTCTTATTTTGGAAGCGCTTGGTCAGTTGATTTTTACTTCCCAGACTTGAGAACACAAGAGAAGGAAATTCCAGGCTTGCCTTCCTGATAAATCAGCAGCTCCTTCTCTGAACCTGCTGAAGATGGTTTCATTTCTTAGCGAGATCTTTCTCTGACACTAATTTTGAGTCTTCTGTCTACCAGTGCTGTAGAAATTGGCCACTCTCTACTAGGATTTTCAAGTGAACACGCATGAACAAACAGTAGAATCTTGAATATAAATTCCACTGTGGATAAACATCATGTTTAAAGAACTTACTAGACTCTTAAAAATATTTCAGTGTATTAACTGATAATCACTCGTCATGAATGACTATGTATATGATCAGTCATTTAGAGGAGAACGCAGTCCTTGTTTGTGATAAGTGAGTTCTCTTAAGTGATTATTTTAGGCATATTCTCACTTTGGGTGCTTGTGTGCTGCAAGTACTTGATAGTGGAGAGATTTACTGGAGCCTGTCTCCTGGATCCCATTCATCAGTCTGGATTAAACATCTCATCTGTTGTATTTGATGAACAAGTATATGAACAGGAGCTTAATGTGCAAATGCAGTTTCTCTCAACTATTCAAAATGGGGAAGTAGAAAAGTTAAACCAAACCAACATTTCATTGGAATGTGAACCATCCTCCTTTTTTCTTTGCTTTTTCTTCTTACTATCTTGTCTTCTCTTTCTGGTTTCAATTTTCATTTCCCTAAGATAAACAGCACCGGTTTTCCCTCTGCTGTTCGTCCACACATGGGAACTTTTTCAATCTTGCTGAGCGACTGGCCTCAGCAAAGTTATGTCCTCTATAGAGTAAGAAAGATTCCAGTTTTTTACTACCTGTGTTGTAGTACATGTTTTATCCTCTAACCATCTTTCTTCCTCCTGTTCATATGGATTTCTGATTACAGTGCTGATTTTCAGGATGGGGTGGGAGGGTACATGAACACCACACTTGCTTTTTGGACTGGCTGCTGTCTGTCTCGGTACCAGGGAAGCAGTACTTCTGAATTTTGCTCCATGATTGTCTGCGTTAGCCATACCTTCAAGGCTACCTCAAGGAAGCAAAATTTCATTCTGATTTTATTCCCTGTGAAGTGTTGCAGTCTTAAGTGATTACCAGAGAGAACTAAGAAATAGATAAAATGCCTCAAAATCTTTTCTTATAGTCAAACATACATGTGATAACGTACAGTGGCATCACAGTGGTCTCCATTTAACCAGGAGGGAAATGTGAGGTTTCCTTTTTGTCAAGAAGCAGTCAGTCTGGGAAGCTGGCTTACCAGTTGTCTTACCTCTTGGATTAAAAATGTACTGAAAGTTGTGATGGGGAGTTTTCTTCAGTTAAATCATCAGATCATATTGGGAAATGTGACCTCAAATTCCCAGTGGCCCCTTAAACCATGGGACATTGTCCTAGTCCTTTGAGCCTTTTCCCTCAGCAGAGGGCATCAAATCTAGTCCTGCTAGGTCAGCCCCAGATAGATTTTTGTCAGATCTGTTGGTACTGGGACCCAGGAGACTTCCCCTGCCAGGACATGGCATGGTGCATGCTGGACTGTTCCTAGTTTCTGGAAAGTTCCCTTGCCATACAGAGCCTGTCCTGAGAAGATCTGCTCAAGTAGAGACAATTCCATGAAATACTTTTGTATTCCCATGGGGATTAAGTTCCTGTCTTGGTGTTTGAACTTTTACAGGATGTGGTTCTTGTTAAAACTCAGTTACTAATTTGGAGAGAGTCTGGGCTACTATTTTAAGGTTATGAACCATCAGTCTTCAGTATTGCATTCACAAGGTTATGAAGATGTCCCCTTTTCTCTTGACTCTGCTTGCTTGTGCCTTAGAGGGATACTGTTTTGAGTTCTGATGGTACCCCCAGTGTTGCATCTTTCAGTGGAATATCTTTCTTCATGACCGGTACATTGGCAAACCAGACAGACTGGAGAAATAAAGATGTTTGTGTAGCTGTCCATCATGCAGTCATTTTTCCCAGATGATTTTATAGATCTTAGAGGCCTATACCATAGATATATCAGGAAAGTAGTTGAAAGAAAGAAAAGGAGTGAGAAGTGGGCATTGTCCTTATATTGGTAATAGGAGAAGAAACAGAGGAAATGTACACAGTATGCCTCTACTGCTGACTACAGAGTCGAAGTTCTAGTGCAGAAACTATGTAGAATAGGTTCTGGCAATACATCTCAATGGATTAAAGCTCCTGCCACTGAAGACAAGTTATTTACCATAGTACTTGTTATTGTGGAATATAAATGTGGCGTTCCCCATTAATATTAGCTTAAGGACTTTGTATTTTTCTATTCTTCCAGTTTGCAACTTTTATTATTTTACACTAACTGTAGAGCTTGCAACCAAAGTTTCTCTCTTGTCTCAGCCCAAAGAGACTGTGGTATCCCGCTGGCGTGCTGATCCTTGGGCCCGGGGTTCATACTCCTATGTAGCAGCTGGATCTTCTGGAAATGACTATGACTTGATGGCTCAGCCAATTACTCCAGGACCAGCCATTCCAGGTGCTCCGCAGGTGAGAGAATCTCTGAATTCTTCATAGAAGTACCTCCGAAAAATATGATGCTTTTCCTAAGTCATTTATATACAGCAGCAATTTAGGAAACCCATGTCTTCTCACTAATGATTAGCACCTGTAAAAAATTCAGTTTTCCATCCAGGAATTCTGCCTCCCCAGATTTGGTCTCATTTCTATTTAGCAAAAAACAAACATTTTTATTCAGAAAATCAATTTGATAATGTTCTGAACACAATATTACAATGTTGTAGTTGCATTGTATTTCACAGTGCTTATTTATGTGGTACGTTGCTGTATTTAAATGAGTCACAGTGGCTTTTTTCAAAACTTAACCCATGACAACTGAATGGATTTTTCTAAGACAAAAAGACCCCTGGAGGTGGCTAACACTACTATATTCTGTTTTTTGCAAAGAAGGCATGCTTAGAAGTTCAGTGAGTTACAGCAAAGAGGGATGGTTTACGCTAATATGTTGCAGTTATCATCGAGATCGGCATAGAAGCAGACAAATAAATAATGTATTCCAGTTCACAGTGTAGAAACTTTTCAGTTTCAAAGTTCTTCCCC